TTATAAAATGAGTATGATCACAGATACCATGTTGAAGAAATGATTAAATATGTAATATTTCATTCATCACTTATTGAAATATATAAATTGAAATTAAAGATCATAATCAGGACACTTCTTCAAAGAATATAGATGCTTTTCCAAGCAAACACTTAAAACCCTGCTAATTTGACCCAGTATTGTATTTCTCCATTATCATTGATATCTTAAATGAGTAGTTGAAAGCTGTGTACACAAGGCAAGTTTTGCAGTATTGTGATATGAGATTTTCAGAAAGGCTATATAAACAATGCATTTCTTTGACATAATACATATCTATAATATGGATTAAAACCCTGAATAACTTTGGCCTGTGTTCTGTTTATGACTAAAGTACAATACTAATGCCTAGATTTATGCTAGCTTTTAATACGGATGATAGTGCATACCATGATCTCTCTAAGGTTTTGGTGTTAACAGTCGGATAGATTCAATTCCCTTGATCTTTGCAAAAATAGGGGAAAATGAACGGGTATCGTGCTGACGTTATGAGTGTTATATGAGGGATGGGTGCTAGACTGAAGAATGTGATTGTCCTAAACGAAAGATATCACACATGCAAATGATTCGATAGACCATGACGTCATTTGTAATTACAGCCCAAACTCATGAGGGCGTTCTCTTCTCTGGTCCGGTTAAGGCTCATTAAGTAGGTTCTTAACATGGTTGTTAATGACACTTTCAATTATATTTCATGAATAGATGTTAATAGGAAAAAATAATGTGGGATCAAATAGGGAAAAAAGAGATGCTTGTCAGGTACGATTCAATTCGATTACTTAGTTGACATCGGCTTCGTACGAACTTGGGCGGTTCAAAACTATTCATGCGGCTTTTTCACCTTGGGCCATCCACATACATCCTATAAATTACAAAACAACATTTCGGCATATAACTTTAGGTGTGGATATATTTTAAATTAAGGTGGTTTTGTGTGTGTATTTTATAGCTTGTCACTGTTCTACGGTAGTATATCCTGTGGATTTTTATAAAATTTTACTCTGTCGAACGAATAAGTTTACTTCTTCAACTTCAGTCCTGTCGTTATTATTTTGCAGTAGTTGCTGTAACCAGGATATATGGTAGGCGTTTATGGTTTGCCATTGTATTATTTATTCTTTATATTTTTATTATGTTCTTAAACCTGCTGGTATCTTAGGACTAATTTTTTTTTTTCGTCATAATAATTATGAGTATTTTTCTGTTTCTTCATCATTAGAGATTAAACTAATTTTTGTCAATTTTGTATAATTTTCAATTGATTAATAGTATTTTTAAAGTTGTTAATAATGATTATAAATTTATACATATATTTATACATTTTTTAAAATTTTTTATAAGAATTTAAAATAATTATGTAAATTTAGCAAATTAAATTAAATATTTATATTTTTTTAAATATAAGAAATTGAAATAATTACATAAATTTAGCAAATTAAATAGATATATTCAAAATTTAAATTATTGTCTTTTTTCTTAATCATCAAATAGAAAAATAAAGTTTAAGGAATAAACATAATGTAAAATTTAGCAAATTAGAAAAAAATTAAATTAGATAATTTAGGATTTGGATTAAAGTTAAGTTTTAGTTAACCAATTAGGATTGTCCTGTGGATTTGCAGTAAACACAGTGCAACTCTACTCATAGGCAGTACACATGGAGTTCATCGTTGCCCTTTTCTGAAGTGGGGTTAAGTTGAGCAACGGCTTAAAAATCACTGGGAGGGCAGTTTGGTAGAATAAAGTTAAACCAGGGGATCCTTATATTTCAAGCAGTGCGCATGCATTTTGTTACCTATGATGGATACTCTCAGAAATTTCCATATTTACAAATTTAATTGAACAAATATTTTTTTAATCAAATTTATGTTCCATAATAGTTTAATGAAGGTTTCGGAAAAAAACAATCTGAACTTCAGCAATAGTGGTTATTGTTTGTTATAGTCAAAACTCAATTCATGCGAAAAATAAATGTTTGATATAATTAAAATTTCACTTTAGTAATCTTTTAAATCAAAATATATATGTGTTTGCATAATATATTATCTAAACATAAATGTTTATATATTACTGATAGCTTGTTATAAAATATATTGCAATTTAATTTGTGTTTTAAAAAAGTTAAAAATGTTTTTAGTTTTTTTTTAATTATCTTTTTTTTTTCCATTTTCATTGTTTTCTATGAAGGAAGTTATTAATGTACTTGTCACACTGGTTTTTTTTTTTATGTTGAAGATTTTATCTTTTACTTCAGCATAATATGTTACATCCTCGTTGAGAAATAAATTGTATAATTGTAACTTAAGATAAATTTGTTTGAAGGTTATTTTTCTCAGTTTCAGCAATAGTTTTGACAAAATTGGGAATTCTTTTCATATCTAGGATCCTGTTTTAAATTCATATTTGAATATAGTGCACATGGCTTGATTTTTTTTTGCAATGACTGTTAACTGTTCAGTATATCACTTTATCTGCTCTGCTTAAGTTACATGAGTTTCCACAAGACCTTGTTTCATTTTCTTTAGGCAATTTATTTAAAATTAGTGGAAATTTATGTTCAAATGTAGGAGAATTTTGGATATTTGGACTTGCCGATTTAGATTATTTAAAAGTATGTGCGTGCGTAAAAAATGTGATGGTGAAGATGCCTTCTTTCTGAAGAAGTCTGACCTTTTAGGATGACCTTGATCCACCGTGGATGTTGGAATTTAATTTCTAGAATATATTTAGCTTCAGAGATGGATTTAGTAGTCTCCAGCCGTCCTCTGTGCAGTGTTTTAATTCAGCCGTTTCTAGATGATTTGTCGTTTCCTTTTTTGAATTATTCATGGAGTCGGGCTATGTAAGTTAAAGTGAATAACACTAAGAGAAGTAGCGGAAGGCTTACTAGAGATAGCGTGAGCTAAAAGATGCGTCAATAAATCGTAGTCCACGACCCACTTCATGAGTGCTGTGGGCTTACCCTTGTTGTCAGACTCGACATTCACTATCATCAATTTCTACCTGCATGTATGAAGCCAGCGGGAAAAGGGGTCATTATTGTCGCGTTCATAGAATAGCAATCAGTGCAACAGAACCAGGAGGGGTCAGACGGTCTTCCGATGATGGATCATCCCGGTTTTGAAAATTACAAACTTGCACTTTGCAAGGAAAGTCTCAATTATACTGTATATATTACAGAATACACAAACGTGAACATGCGTTCTAAAAAATAGATGTTTAAAAAAACATGTATAACTAATTTTACTAATGTGACCTGTTTGTCATTAGATGAGTTAGGATATCCTATACTGGCATGTGATTAGGCAATTCCGTAAGGAGATAAACCAGGACAAAGACTATTATAACATAACTATGAAGATATATTGTTGTATTAGGCTCTAAATTTTGTATTCATCAAAAGTAGGGTCAGTTAATTCCGATAATTAATGTACTAGTTTTTTTGAGAAAAACATCCATGTAGTATTTTTTTTTGTCTTTGATGATTACTGTATTACTGTATGATAAATGGTCCATAGTATGTTTGTGGCATAATTAATAGTATATGACGTTAAAAGAAAAGTACATGGTAGATTTAATCATTATAAATTTGTAATCCAGTAAACTTTATAGGTTTGTTAATTATTTTTATAATAATGTGTTTTCATAGTGCAATGCCTATACTTCTATTTTCTTCACATTTACTACTATTGTTTTGTGTTAAAAATATGATCAGTTTTGGCTCAATGAACCACCATCGCATAACATTTTTGAAATAAATATAAATGATATAAATCTAAACACTCATTTGATGGTCCTTATTGTAAGATTGTTACCGCTTCACTAACATTTAACAGTGTACTGAACCACCAAATGTTTCCTTGTTTACCTTCAAAACAATTTATATTCTGAAAATAAGCTAACACCCTTTTATTACCATAGAAGTTGTGATATTTAATATTATCTACTGTGCATTCATGCGACAATGTAATTCATTATACTTTATACTATAATTTACCTTTCTATGCTTGACTGACTTTCAGTTGAATTCTGTCATGAATTTAGGTTGACAACTAAAATGTTTACCAAATTTGGAAGGTGAAGGTGTTTCAAGATATTTGTTTTCTTTAGGAAACTTGATTTAAGGTGTGGAAATAGGATTGTTGCTGATGATCGTGAATAAAAAGTCTTTAATTTTTTTCTTGTTTGAATTTTGATGAGGTAATGAATAAAATTGGATGCTTCCTCCACAAAATTAATAAGAGCGGCTACCGTTGGAAAGCACAACGGTGTGTTGTCTTGTCTATTAATTGTTCATTGTTCACAGCATAGTGGGAAAAATACAACACATTGGTGTTGTAGCGATGTCACGTCTAAATACAGTAATCAAATGAAAATAAAGTAGGTAATTAAATCTTAGGTTAGTATCAGCATCAGATTTATTTGGTTCAGAGCCCCTTTAGCCCTTATTTGGTGATATTTCTCAGTGGTGTGTTTGTCATTTTTCTCACCTGTAGTGTATCCATCTTATAATATAAGCTGTGTGTTCATTTGCTGATGTCATCCAGTTCCGTTGGTCTTTCTCTTTTTCTGTTGACCTTTAACCTTTGACATAAATATCTTTCTCTTGTTTCTCATCGTTACACAACAGGTGATTTTGTTTGGTTTCCATTTTGTAAAAATTTAAGTAATTTCATAGATGTAAACGATACGAGGCTCTGTCTCATGTTATGTGTAAATCTTTTTTATTTCTTTTATAGTTCATCCGTAGAATTTGTATATTTGTTATGTTCGTTGCATAGTAGTTCCAAATTCAACAATAATAAATTTGTCTTTATGGTCAATAAAATGTATTGAAATTCTTTTTATTTGGTAAAGTTATAAAAACTCAAATACATAAACAAGGCATTAAAATACATCCTAAAAATAAGATATACAGCAGGTTATAACTTGTAGTTATAAAGATGATCATGCATTTTTTATTTTTTAACTCATTTAAACTTTTTTACTCATATTATTGTAATATCAGCATCATTGTCATTATCTTATCCTCCTCATCACCAGTTCATTGATGTATATTTGTCAATATCATAATCATTATCTGAAGTACTATCAAAATCAGTTTATTAATGTATGTACCATCAATATCATTATTATGATAAGCATCATCATTATGTATTCTTCGATGTATGTATCATCATTATCATCATAATCTGCTATCTTCTTTAGAATTAAAAAATATTCGAAAAGGTTGGTACACTGATGGGATATCATAAGTTGAAAATGAATCTACCATCTGGAAACAATTCATTGCATTATTACAGTGCATCATATAGAATAGACATGCGGAGAAAATGATGATAAAGAGGGCAGCGCCCATCACGGGGAACAATTCTAATGGATTGTGTGTAGGGAGAATAAAAAAATTTGCCCGGCAGAAAATCCAACATCACACATTCGACAATATAGACAACAGGTGAAAGCAAATGAAATGTACAGTACTGTAATTGAAACTGTGTAGTTTGTATTGAATTTTATCGTCTTTGGATGCATTTAAATTCCATCGAAAGCTATCATATATTAAGAAGTCATTTGCAAAGACTTGTAATGATTATTAAACAGCAGGTACGAAAATTACAACTCGGAAATGATACAGAACCTGCGACTGGTGTGTAGAAATGCACGTGAAATATACCTGATCTGGTTTTTCCGAACAAGATTCCATATGTAAGACACTCACACTTTCTGGTCAATGCAAGGATTACATGTTAAATGAAGTCAGGAAAAGACTAATGATTAGGATATTTAGTTACATAAAATACAAGTACTGACTTAAATAGGGAAATAATGAGAAATATACAAAGTTAAGCACAACAATGGATGAGAAATTGCTGAAAGTATGTCAGTTATATTTTTCTCTAAATATATACAACTATGATTAAAATGTTAGCGACTTAGTTGTGTAGAGCATCTATAAATACTGACATATTATTACTATTGTTATTATTATTATTTTCTTTTTACTATACAATGTTATAAATGGGGACCCTCTATAAATTGAGGAGTTCTCTTGAATAAGTTAAATAACGTGATTCCGCCTCATTATGAGGATTAGGGGGTGAGGATGTTCTTAATCATGAATCAGATCTTGTGCCGCCACGCATTTGAACCCAGGACTATGGGATTAGAAGGCAAGCATTTTACTACTAACCAGAAAATATATTGCTTTGTTCCTTCAAAACACTGATAATGATACAGATACACAGATTACAGTATCATCATCGTTATCATATTCTTTATTATAAGGGAGAACACATAATAGAAGGGAAGATAGTAATTACGATAACATGATTATACGAATTGGCACTGGGGTAATGTTGGTGAAAAGTTTGTAATGCTTTTGATGTAATCATTAAACTGAGATAAAGATAACACATCAGGATTTATAAAAATGGTGATGCTAAAGATTATGTAAACTAGTTTATAGCTTTTTCCTAACAAATATTTAATATAATATTCCCTATCCCTTCTTCCCCCCCCCCTCCTTTTTGTGACTTCACCTTTTCCATCTTCCCATTCCATATCTTCCTGTGTACCTCTTTCCAGTTACGTACATGCAGAATACAATGTGTGATAAAATGCCTGCTTGCACAAATCATAATTTTACTACTGCAGGTGAATTTAAAACTTCCTCAGTTTGAAGTAAATAATGTAGAGGGCAGTACATAGGTATATAATAATATGACAACATGTTTGCAGTTAGTTAGGAAACACGTCTGCTCTTTATGAGTAGTAATTTGTGAATAAATCTACAGAATTTATTAAATTATTTAAGACCACGCTACATTTCTTATTGCGTAGGAATGAATAAGCAGGTGAACTTAAATTCATGTCTGAATCAAATTTTTCCTGTATTCCATTAAACATCAGTAGCAGAAGAAATACTTCTTGTGGGACAGTCTTATTATGGCAAAGAACTAGTTCTGTACATTTTAATTTCAATTAAATTCTTAGTGGGAATTGCATGGCCAGCAAGTGCTAAGTGCATATAACTGTGTTGCTCAGTTGTCATGCATGGCTGTGGGTACTTTGTGGAACTATGCACTTCTGGGTTGTGTATTTGTGTAGTTAAGTTCAGCCAATGGGGCGCACCCTTAGGGAGCATGTGACACAGGCCTTCAAGTGTGAGAGGAAAGCCGTAGTTTCAAGTGTTAAGCCTATTCATTAACGTAATTGCGAGAATTTTTTTTTTTAAGAGCTGTGTTCAGACTGTTGCTTCTTATTTCTTAATGGGTACTTGACAGGAAACTTTCTTTGAATATCTGGCTTCCTGGCTGGCTCCAGTGTTATTATCAAATTCTGACAAGATTTCACCACGTATTCTTCCTTTTTTGCAAATTTATAATTGCTAAATTAGCAAGGAGAAAATTTAATAGTTTAATACCAGATATATTTCCTCTGTGCAATTTATTTTTGAAATTGTTTATACTCTATTCTTTTCAGTCTTGATTAAGTTTCCTCCATAGATCTTACTTGTCACTGAATTTCACTTTTTAAGAAATGATTTAAAACAAAATTGTTGGCAACAAGAAAGAATGCATTTTAGCATAAATATAAGTGCATTTTGTTCATTCTTAACATACCTAATGCAGAGGGGATCATATCCATCCCTGTCAAATATTCATAATAAACTCACCCACAAGCAAATTTTTTAAACAGTCATAAAGAATATATCAAGTTGCTACAGATATAGTAGTAAATCAAATTTTATTTTCGCACAATTTAATATTAAATAATTTGATATAAATTCACATTCATTTTTTAAATGTGGTATAAAAATCGCGGGGTTTTTTCTGTTTACCACGCATTTATCAGTTTAATTGTAATTATTTTTTTAAGTGATCAATTTCAAATATCTGCATGCAATTCTATGTTATTTGTAATTGCTTTGTGTTTTTATATGATAGGAAAACAAATTTCCAGTTGTTTTATTGCACAATAAATGTTATAAAAGCTAATATTTTGCATAATTATATATTTTTTTAGTTAAACATTAATTGAAATTAAACCTTGCAACATATACTTGTGATAATTAATATTTAATTTTCCACCTTTTCTGTATCACGGGAAGGGGATGGTGACTAGGGGATTGACCTTGAATGTTGTCTTTTGTGCCTTCCACTCCCTATTCTATTAAAAGTCATTCAAAAGAAGAGCTTATCTTAGATAGCTCAGGTGAGTAATGAATTTTACACCATGAAACGAATTTGATAGTTTAGGATATGTGTCTTATCCAGTATGAATCTCGAGGGACGGTTACTGTATAATCGCACATATATAATATATGATTACAAATATGAGATTAACCATAATGCCCTGCATTTGATGTGTCTATCATTGTCCATTCGAGAGCATTCTGCGACAAAATTACCACATGGTCTGCAGCCTACAACAATACGAGAATCATATCGTAAACAGCAGCATTTGCCAAGCCTACTCATGGTCACCCTTTGCAGCCTAAAACAAGCCTATTATGGTGAATTCCTGCGGCCTAGAAACTAACCCATAGTGTCATGGTCACCCCGCGCAGCCCACGACAAACCTATTACGAAAACCTCCTGAAGGCAAAGACAAGCCTTTCATGGTCACCCTGTCCGTCTGCACCGAACATATCGTGGCCATATGCTACATGCCTATCCTTGGTCACCGCTTGCCTAGATTGCCTATCACGGTCGCTCCTTTGCAGCCTGCCTGCAGGGTAGGATTTTACTGTCGCACCAAAGACATCTCAACAGTGCACACTGAATCTACAAGATATAAATTTTAAAATACAGATGTTAATTACAATGGGCAAGGAGGTGGTAAGAGTTTCTACATTATTTGTGAAATATCAAAGAGGATTTGATATTTGATAAACCGTATTTGCCGTGAATATGTATATAAGAGACAGTATATATATATATATATATATATATATATATATGAATGTATAATTAGTTCACCGTTAGTTCACCATTCATGCTCATTGGTTAATTATTCATTTTATAATTCTACTGGATAATTTTATTTTATTTCTAATCCCCTATAGTATATCTGTATGTTTTGTTAATAAAACATGACATTACCAACAGCAGTTTTCTCCCCCCCCCCCTTTCAAAAAAACAAAAAAAAAACAAAACAAAGTAAATAGTATAAAACTAAAAAACTGATACCTAAAAAGTTACAGAAAAAATTACATGTATTTAATATTACATTAAATCAAATGTTAATTTAAAAATATAGTGAATCATTAAAACAATTATTATGCTTAATTCAAAATATTAGATCATTTACAAAAAAGACCTTTATCTTTTTTGTTTATAATAAACTTCATTTCCATGACGTTTTGTCCTAGTTACCTTCTATTAGATACATTAAAGAAAGTCAAATACAGGAATTTGTGCATTCTCGTTAAGATTATCCACGTCCTGTTTTGCTCCTATTTTCTCAAGGATAGATCATAACGACGTAGTTAATTAATTGCTGACCTTATGTCTTGGCTCTCGCATACAAAGTAGTAAAGATAAAAACCTGTATTAAATATTTTTTTTAATGATGTTCAGTCAAATCTGATTCCTAGTAGTAGGTGTTGTCTTCCTTTTAAACAAACAAATTGCTAGTAATGATACTAGTAACGTTGTGTTTATACTCATATCTGTCTTTCTTCATTTTTCGTGCTCTATTTCTGAACAGAAAATTGTTTTTTCTGTCTGTTTTGCTTTTGTCGATTTGGGCCAAGCGAGTTTTGATCCTAGTAAGCTTTAATTTGGAGTTGGTTTTTGTAGAATCTCCTCCTAATCAACAGATGGTCTGCACCTGCTAAGTGTGAACACACTAGCCGCAGCCTGTGGACAAACTCATACATATGAGTTATAATAACAATCATTAGCGCCTGTCTGTGTACATCATGCACTATGGGTACTTATTTCATCAAAACTCTGACTTACAATCACCTCCTAATCTTACCTGAAATTCATCGTATGTACGATAGGTCCCCTAGCTTTGGTTTTGACGGCTAGAACGTACTCCTCAGATAGTGAAAAGCATTGATTACCGAAACGCTTCCTTCTCAATATGTTGTACTCCGTGCTTTAATACAACTTCCTCTAGATTAAGTGGCTGTAGCTTATATTGTTTTGGTTGGCTCCAGCCCTCTGTGATGAGCAAGACTCTAATACTGACTCACTTCCCAAAATGTTTTATCAGAATTGTACATACTTTGTACCTTTATTAATTTTCCCCTCGGAAATACATATCTCCCCTTATCAGTTATCGTCCATAGGGCTGCGGCTCTCAGACACCATCCATGCTGATTTAAAACAGGGGTCGTTGTTAATAAGTATTCATTGTACATGTCACCAATGTGTTGCCCAACATCATCTGGTCTATGACGTCCAACGCGAGTACTACAATCAACGCAACAAACTTGTTAGGTATTTATGGCGCTTCTATTCTCCCACCGGGAAGTTGAAAATACATTTACAACCTTAACTCGTGTGGTTTTGCTTAAAGTTATCATTTGACGAACGCGTAGCAATCTGGTTGCGTATGGTTCATCCTGCACTGCCGGCAAACATGCTTGTGTAATACCAATGCGTTTTACTCAGTATATATTTTCTGCTGTGTTCACATCTTTCGTTGGTAGTTTGCACCTCAGTGTAGGTTTGTAATTCAAGCAAATGTAAACATATTTGTTCAATTTTGATATATCAATGATGGATTTTCATATTTTTTTTAATAAGTGAATTACTTTTACTTTAGATAAATGGTTCATGAATATAATTTTTTTTTTTAAGTAGTTTATATTTAATTTTTTTAATTTTCTTTTTTAGAGTTGAAAGATGTCTACAATTATGGACACCAATTTGGAATTGACAAAACACAAACCGATCAAATGTGAGATAATTGAGGAGAATATGGACACAGAGGACCAACAGCAAGATGCATATATCATTGACAGAACGGTCGGTAAATTGAACCGGACCACGGACTCGCTGAGCGATTCGGGGCAGTCATGTGATTGTTCCTCCGAGGAAAATGTAATAATGGAAGAAAAAGAAGACATTAATGGTCAAGGGAAAGGATCGGAGGTAGATGAAAAGATGAAAATTGATTTGAATGGAAATATGGGTCTTGATAAAAATGTGGAGGTTAAAACAGTTCATAATACGAAGTCTACCTCAGAACAATTGGCTGAAAAAGATGCTCAGATCCAGGATATGTTACTACAACTGAGTGTATTGAAAGAACAGTTAATGATACAGCAACGCGAAAATACAGATATCCACAAGGTACAGTTGGCAAAGCAACAGCAGCAGTTAGAAGTGCAACGCCAACAACAGGAGATGATACAAATGCAACAGCAACAGATAATGCAACAGCAACAGCGTATTCAACTTCTATCGCAGGCTGTTCAAGAACAGTACAAAGCTGCACCACCAGGATATGCGGGTATCCGCCTCATACCCATCTATCCCGGTGACTCGTATCCATTACCCCCTCACATGCTTTTACCCTCACCTACTGAACCCCCAGCAAGTGTGAAAGTAGGTATGTCACCCACTTCTCCAAAACTTGAGATACCACACCAACCAAAATCAGTTAGTACAACTCGGATACAGCCTCCCCATGTGACATCACAACCTGTAATATCAGGCACGACAACATCTATCTCAAGCAAGGGACTTCTTACAATACCTCAGACACCTTTTCCACTGCAGGGCTTCCCCTCACCAATACGGTTAAGTCCGAAAACCCTGCACACAGGTAGCGAAGTCCAACAACCATTAAATTTAACCCTGAAACCAGCCCCAAAAGCTGGCCCAGGCATGCAAAAAATGATTGACCTTCAGAGCCCACCATCCCCTCCTCTTCAAACCTTTGTACCCTCAAGACCGTTAACAATCACGGAACCTCTGAAACGAAGTAATTCAATGTCGCCAAAGGCTAGTTATCAGAAGTACGCAACGCATGAAGCGGAGATTTTGTCCGGAACGACAGCAAACATGTACGAACATTCGGAGTCAGGTAGAGTTATTTTCTTTCTTTTTATTCCTGTTTGTTTTGAGAAATTTCATATGCATATCAAAAATCATATAGATTGGTTTGTGAACTTGATAAACCATTCATGAGTAATATTTTTTTTTTTCCTGGGAAAGCAGAATGTTTTTTGCGATGAAATTTTTAAAATGTTAACGAGACTGAGATAAGAGACAACACTTTTATGGAGCTGGTAATAATGATAGATGGTGTGTTTTGTTCAGAAATTGCAATAGGAAATGCAAGATAAACCGTTAAAATAATGATTTATTTTTATCTGCTGATTTATATTTATTAATAAGTAATTACCTCACAAAATCCTAATCAATATTTCCACAAGGTAAATGGTTTAAACCGTCTCGTCAATTACAGTTATGACCTTTGAACTGGCTATATTGATGATAATGGCTGTTGGTGTGGTAAAAGGAATACTTAAACACATCTGATTACGTCTGATTTTTCACTTACACACAAATTTACTTGGGGAAATGTTTAATATTTCATGATGCGAAAATAGCCTGGAAACATTTATTGTATTGCATAAATCTATGTCTCATAATTTATAATATGATGTTTGTAGGTTTTAATAAAATATAAGGATAATGAATGGATTATGATTATAATGAGTTGTTTATTTTTATGTTATATTAATAATAAGTATGTAATAATATTATGAAGATTTATATGGTGTACAAAAAAAAATGCGCTGAGAGTGCAATCGTTGTAGGAAAATTATTAAAAGATTCCAATAAATCCATTTTGACCAAGAAAGGAGGATATTGTAGAAGTATGGTATAGTTTAATATAGACAAATTAGAAATTTCTTACAAAATCAAAAAAATCATTCCACAATTTATTTTTTTATATATCATCTTTTTATTGAAAATGTTAAGATGATAGAAGAATGGCAAATGGAGAAAATTCAATCAAATATATTTTAATCTTTGAGAATGCTGGATTTTTGAGACATGATTAATTTTACGGTAAATACTTTCATGTCAAGACACGTGCAAACAAATGGACATAATCGGAAAACTAGATTTGTATGAATTCAATTTTTGTATATGCTGCAAGTGTATATGTACAGTACGTGTGTGTATATATATGCAGGAAGCAGCCTGATATTGCTTAACAAAATCCATATGCTGAGAATTGTCTTAGGATTCTGATTTTATACTATTTAAGTTGCCGGGGGAACAAAACCAAAACGGTTGCGTTGATACGTAGCACATGTGTTGTGCTTTTACAACACGCATCAGGAACATGTGTGTAACGAGACGAGCGTCGTAAACGAATCACTTTCTCAACATCTGAAGTTACTTATGTGTTGATTTCCCAAGTTTCTTAAAGTACACAACTTTAATAGCTTCTATGTATGACCGGTATTATGCCCACGACTTGTCAGAACGTCTTTTCATGGAAATTGAGTTTGCGAATGAAAGCAATTGTCTAAGTATTTTGTCCGTGGGATGGTAAAGGGCATGGCTTCAATGAAACATATGAGCTCTTTCAAGGCTGAAATTTGTAGACGCGTGACCATTGAAAGAAAGAATTATTATTTAATTATAAATTATTTGCAATGTGTTTTTTAGAGAAGGAAGATTGATAATCATTTATTAATTTGAAAGTTGTTATTAGTTGATAGTGTTATAATATATTATTATTATTTGTGTTGATAATATGGGTTTTTTTTACCGATAGGATTCCAAAATACAAATTACTTCCAAAATATTTCAGAAGTTCACTTATCTATTTAACTAAGATGCTTTAAATTTATATAATTAAGGAAGAAATATATCTTATTTTTGAAGATTTCAGGGTAGCAGTGGGTGTAATAAAAATAAAAATAATGTTGGATTTTTTTATAAAATTTCCATTTTTTCGTAGCGGAGGGTGCGCTAACTGGCCGAAAATGAAATTTTATTTTTATTTAAAATCGCCATTATTGGCATTCAGCGGATTTGCTAAATAAAGAAGGTATAAAAAGTCTCGCCTAATTAAAGTTTGTACTTTAACCTGTAGTTACCATTTTATGAAACACAATACATATTATATTTAACACAAGCATTTTTTGAGTATGGTCCATCCAGCTTGAGAGCTATATAAGGCTGTAGAAAATACATTACAAAAATTGAATGGATGAACATTTTAAAATAATATTTAAAAAAAGATTGATTTTTATAATGAATAAAACTTTTTAAATGAATAATAATAGTAGTTAATATTCATAATTACAATATAATGAATAATAATTACTATTGAATTATATTATGGGATAATTTGAAAATGAATAATATTGTTTCCTAATCAAGGACCATAAAATAGACTTTAAGTCTAGCCCTAGGAGGGGGGATTACATTGTTACACTAGACCCACTTTGATGGCCTCTGTGAGATCCTGAGCCAGGTTCTCTGAAGCCTAACCTGACTTAAAGTGGTTTATTGGACCGTCTAATTAGTCATTTCCTAAAATAGTTGGCCAGGATTGCCGAAAACCTCATGTCCTACGCCTTCAGTTACCTATAATTGGAACGCTGTGGCGTTTCCTTCTGTAAAGTTGTCTTTGGTATGTCCTTGACTCTTCGGAGTTCAACGCCAGTTCTAAGAGACACTTTTCTTTTTTTTCCATTACGCAAATAACACCAACTATGATAATGATACCATTTCTACAGAAAATTACTGTTTATAAAGTAACCAACAATATTATATTCTGTAATATTTACTTTGGGTTATTGTTTCCCTGTAATTAACTTGCCCTTTAATTCAATTTTTAATTAGAGAATTCTATTAACAATTAAATCATCCTAAATCATTTTTAAAGGGAAAATCATAACATGTATTTTACTTCTGTGAATGCTCTATTCACACTATCAAATTTTAATTTACTAATAACTATTGTATGCCCATATATGGTCACGATGTGCCCATATATAGTCATAATGTACCTATATATGGTCATGATGTGATGTCATCATAACCATATTTAGGCATGTCGCATGTTTTTTCAAGTAAAATTTATAGTCTGGACAGGACTTTAATTTGATGTATCAATTATTACAAATGTGTTTTATGAAGAGGTAGCACAATCACCTTTCCTGATGTATTGCTCTTCACAATCTTCGTTCTTCATCTAAAAATCTCTTGACAGTTTCAACTCGTAAAGGCAAGTCAAAAGCTTATGGTTAACATGCTTGTTCTTTTCAAGCCCCCTTTCTATGGAATTCTTGCCGCTTTTGGTCGCGATTTGTCTAATTTGCTTTCTTTTTAAAAAATCTAAAAACTTACCTATTACTGGAAAGTTAACTTGCTTTATTTGCTCACTTAGCAGCTTTGATAAATTTTGAATTGGCACTATATAAATATTTGTTATTATTATTTTAAATACCTATAATATATGTTTTGTCCATCATCTCTCTTTAGGGTCTCCCCAGGAGCCAGGATATTTTCAAGACTCTGCTATGGTTGACAAGGAGAAGATTGCATTCGAGGCGCTATCCAATCATCTCCCGACTCATTCGTCCCTTCACGGGGAAGCAGCCATAGTTACCTCGAGTACAAATGATGTACGGCATGTGATGCAAGTAAGTGTGATTACCGTCGTCAGTGGGAGTGTATGATTTAAATGCTTAACTAGATCTGTTCCTATCAACCATTTGTATGTTATTCTATCAACCATTTGTATGTTATTCCCTTTGATCATCTTAACTAATTATTTTGCATTTTGGTTTTTTTTTTTCTTCATTAAGTTCCATCCTTACATTAATAATAGAGTTGAATGCAATGTCTTTCCATATCTTTACAAACTACTTGTATGTACATCAACCTAGTCCATTGCACAACATTCTGTGGCTAAGAAACTCTGGGTTGTCTTCTGCTTATTTCTCCCAGTTTAACATAATCAACACAAATGTTGTGGCAATGTGAGGTGCTTTAATATAAATCCAGAACTAATTAATTGAAGTGTAATGAACATGAGTATGTTAGCATAAAGTACTGCTTCTTGTTCAATTTTTCTATTAGAAACTACAATTGTCATAATCTTAGATTATAGTAATTTTAAATCTGATTTTGATATATTTTGTTAACTAATCTTGGTTAACAATTGAAAAGTAAATTTGGATAATATATAAGAGTACCAAACTCTTAATGCTGTCTAGGAATCAAATATGAAATATTACTTTACAATTATACCTTTAAAGCTGTTAACTCCATCACAAAACAGGTTAAATGGTTTTATATATTTCTAATATATAATTATAGTATATAAAATAATATTTTATATATCAAACTTGTTTCTTGTTAGCTCCAATTGAAAAAAAAAATTTTAATGGGGAGAAATGATATACTTAATTACTGCATTTAGACCCCTTAGTTACAGTTTCATTAGTACTGTACATCTTTAGCTCCACCAGTTAGTTACAGTGTACTATATCTGTCTCTTATACACATCTAGATGTGTATAAGAGACAGGAATAATAATAGTAGTTAANATCTAGGATATTATCAGTGTTGTAAAAATAAAAATACCAGACAGTGAAACCATACAGGCTTATATTGTATAAATTATGTAAGTCCAGTTCCAAAAGTGCAATATTTTTTTTATAATCTTGCATAAATATCGCCAACTATTTATAAAGTTATTGGCCTGAAGAAGGTTTATCTTCCGTTGATTCCCCTGCACCTGTCGTCCTAATACTCCAGGCTTTGCTTTATGCTCTGATTCCAGTCCGGTTAAGGTATCTGAATATGTCTGATTCATGTACTGTATACCTGTTTGACAGGTTGCCTTCAACAATAACACTTTTGAACATATTCCTCCCAATTTTTTATTAAATAAATTCTGTCTCTTGAATTATGAAATTGTAGATGTTAATGTAAACTATATGCATACCCTATATATATATATATATGTTTTTATTCTGATTTATATTTAAAAATTCAAACAGTGCATTATTATAAGTACATTGGTTTATAGTTACAGGAACAACATTTTTGTAAAAAAGTATGCGTTTCATACAAGACTTTTACTATCGAAACATTATTACATCATGATGTAGACTTAAAACAATGTTGTAGAAAAGTGTGGTATTTTTCTGTTGGTTTTGGGCCAAATTGCAAAGCCTGTACCAAGGCTTTTGTTAAGTGACAAATAAAAAGATTAACATTCCCTGAATAAAATAAAACTATTAAATGATTGGTGTCAATATTTCAGATTTAAAGTACATTTTTTGTGGCAAACATGATTAATAATGAGATCTGATAGGAATGCACCTAAGCCCAGGGTTTGCATCTAGATCTAAACATCTTAAGAAGAGTACAGTTATGATCCCAAGTACTTTGCAAGGTATCATGTGATTCGTACTTGATTTATGCGCCCCTCTTAGCACTCCCTACTCAGTTGCATGACACGTTGGGAGGTGCGTTCCACATGACCTAGTTTCAGCGTTGTAAAAACAATGCTCACTTGTTTTCCAAGAGGGCTAGATCTTCCAGGAATGCATTGAAAATGCGCATTTTACCTTCTGGTGTTTATTCTCAGGTGGAAATTCCATTTACCAATTATGGACACAATATCATTTCTGTTGGGCTTGCTTTTTTTTAACCTCAAGCTTACCCCATCTAATGCTTTAATCTTAGCAACAGAATTATTTTTTTTTTATTTTTCAGTTATTTTTTTTTATAATATAATAAGCATTGATTTAGTTCTGTGCAAATGAATTTGATTTTGATTCAAAATCAATCTTCATTTTCATTAAGATCAACTCTTTTTGTCACGGTTATCACCGTATCTCTAATTGGTGGCGCCATATTTTAGCCTGTGGGTTATTTATAAATCGCCAAAGTGTTTGTGCCAAGACTTTGATAATTCTAAAGAGCCGCTCCAAACTGAAACAAGTGTGCATTGCCTGAAAGACAAAAAAAAAGACTGAGAGAAGAATTAGATTAGACAGCTGTGGAATTTCTCACGAAAAGCACACTGTTGTTTTCTGCTGATTATGTACTTTGCTACTTCAAGTTGATGTGATTTGGAATGACCCTTTGGAAATTGCCTTTTATACGGGTGATTAGCTTTAAAAATTAAACCGGATTGTCTGTGCTGGCTTGCTCCTCCTTTACATTGCATATGATTGGGAGCGAATGCGTGGGAGTGAAAGCAGTATTATTGTAGATAGAATGTTGGTGCTAACAGTAAAAAGTTTGGTTTATATACAACTATTTTAAGTCTCATTATAATCATGAGATTTATAATGAATTTAATGAGATTTAAACTAAGTACTTTAGATATTGTAAGACTGTAGGACAAGGTATGTTTTTTAAGACTAGGTGGATTTTGTGGGACTAGATTCATTTTGAGGCTTGGTAGATTTTGTGAGACTAGATTCATTTTGAGGCTTGGTAGATTTTGTGAAAACATATACATTTTGCATGATTGTGGGACGAAGTAGATTGAGCAAGAGATTTTTTAAAACTGAATTGCAGGAATGAAGAAATTTGTAAGACTCCGTAGAATAAGTATATTTTGCAAAATTGGACATATTTTCTGAGACAGTTTTGTGAGAACGGATACATTTTTTGAGATTTTGTGAGACTGGAGAGATTTTGTGAGAGACTAGGTAAATAAAGACTGAATTTGCAAAAATTGAAGAATTAGGTTTTGTAAGACTATAATCTATGAGAATGGTTCATTTTGTGATATTGTTTATTGGATATACTGTATTTAGAACATATATTTTTATAAGAATGTTGTCGGAAGACTCGAGTAACTTTACAAGAGGGGCTATGAGACCAGTAATTTCATGAGGAGTTGAACCCTTGGCGGCACAGACATTACCGTTGAGGCCGGGCAGCTAAAGTATGTGATGTGGGGAAAAATGCCGCTTGTGTAGGCCCTGTCTCAGACATGCTAAGACTGAACATAGAAAATTTTGTTGGATTATCGGTGGATTTGGTGAGATAACTATGAATTCTGTGAGATAAATGGTGGATTTTAGTGAGATTGCAATGGACTTTGTTCTGACAGACAGCTGATTTGACAAGATTGAAACTGGATTTAATAAGAGTTGTTGTTGATGTGTACATTATTTACTGTAATTAATTTGTAGGTCAGTACTAATATACATATATATCAATATGTATAGAAGGCCAAGGTTAAAATGTTATTACAAAACAAGTTTTATTCTAGTATATACAGTACTTTAAACTTAATTTAATTTAAAATAACAAATATACATTTAATAATAATAGTAGTAATCATAGATTTTGACTTAATATTACTGGGATTAATAAATATGTATGCTCATTAGTATTAACTGAATTAGATATCTATTGCTTTGATTTGACTTTGCCGAACATTATAGTCGAAAGCACATCATTATGCAAGTATCCTCTTTTTGACATGTCAATTAGGAGGATAACCCATTAATAACCAGCTTAATTGAATCAACCAGTAGAAAAAGCCCGGAACAATCTGACCTAATTTTATATTAGAATGTCCCTATTCTTCACCATTGATCAGAACTCTCTTAATGCTTTAACTGCTAAACTGTCGTGTCGTTCACCACGCAAAGAAAATCGTATCTCTTGCCCCGGGTCCTGTGACGTGACATCTTGACGCCACGCTTTTATAGGATCTTCCTTTTCTTCGGTCTCTTTTGTCGGGATGTCTGTTCTCGGAGTCCAGACTTGATGAACTTTAAGTACATATCCTTCCTTGTTTGGCAAGTGTCTATATTATCTTTAGTATCTTTAATAAAAACAATATTCTGGTTTTAACACAACAGTTGTTTGTGTCAGTTATAAGTGTGTCTAGTTAGTCATCTTCTATGAAAAGTAAAAATTGAAAGTGATAAGACTATTAGGGAAAATGATATTTAAATGTTTGATGGTCTTAAGTCTCTGTTTTTATACAATGTATTTGAATTTACTTAATTTGTGTATTTTTACTTTCTCAATGCTTGCCCTAGTAGCAATGATAGTTTATCAGTCAGCAACATTAAAAATCAAATTAAATGCATAATGACACTTAATAATTATACAGTAGATATCAATAAAAATAAATCATCTGGATCCACTAAAATAATATCTTAGATGTAAATATTTTTCTTTTGTAATTATTACTAATACTTCCTAAGTAATTTCCCAATTACCATGGTTTCAACGAAAAAAACTCATTAACATTTTTTTTGTTTACGTTTCTTCTTTCAGAATGATGATAATCGTAGCATTGTTATTGATCTGACAGAGGAAGATGAGAGGCCAAAGATTGATATCCAAGTAGACCAATGTAAGTGATATCAATTGTTTGTTTTGTTTTTTTGGTGGGGGGGGGGAGGTTATGCTTTTATATTTTTAATCAGATTTCATATATTTTATTATATAATGTATTTAATAAAGGTAAATAAATATAATATTAATAGTTTTTATAGTTTTATTGCATACCAAAATATAATTCTAATAGAATCCTTACAATGTTTTACTTTTTATGACGATTTGTGGTTAACAAGGGTTGCCAGAATATACCAGTTAATTACTTTGAATTATAATGTCTGGCAATATTTTCTCAATAGCAGAATGCATACTTGAATATTTCATAAGATAGAGAAAAAAAATCCTATTACTGAATTTGGTTTGTTCATTCCAGCAACAATTGCCAGGATGTATCGAGACTCTCGTAAAAACGACCCGAACAAGCCTCACATCAAACGGCCCATGAATGCATTTATGGTATGGGCAAAGGAGGAGAGACGAAAGATTCTGGCACGACATCCAGATATGCATAATTCAAACATAAGCAAAATTCTTGGTACGTTCCTCGGTTTCAAATGTCGGCATTTTGTTGATGGACACTCGGGTATTCATCAAATGGCAATAATTATAGTGTGGTACTTTTTCTTAGTATAATTAGATAGTGATGCTATTGATTAAATCAATATAATGAAATGGATGATAGAGATGTTGTAGATGATGTAATTACAATTCTAAAGACATTATTGATAATGATAATAATGATAAAATACAATGCAAACATTTCTTTAATGTGGATAGGTCTTTCAATATACTGTAAGTAGGATGCCAGATTTTGGTGTTTGTTTCTCGCTCTTCAAGACAAAGCTCAACTTTTCTTCATAATGCCCCTTTCAATTGATGCCTGCCTTTTTGTAAATTGAACCTGTTTATTGATTTTTTTTTTAACCAAGACCTTTGCTAATTAGCACATAAGTAGGCAGTTGGTATTTTAACAAACCCAGATTCCCTCCATCTGATAAAATTGGATTGGATTTATTCGGTGTAAACACCAAGGATAACCCACAAAAGTCTAGAAGAAGACTTATTTCCAGTGAGGTCCTTCTGGTGGTGATTGGGCAGTACACCTTTTCCGAAGCGTGTACTGCGTTCTTTATCGTGCACATGGGCCATAATGCACACGGGACCAACGGCTTAAACGTCTCATCCGAAAGACGGTGCGCTATTGTAACTTGTATTTCAGCCCTCTAGCTGAAACACAAGGAGAGGCAGCGATGGGAATTGAACCGGGGACCTAGAGATCTCCACGGTTCAGCGCAAAATGAAATAAGAAGAGACTTTTCCATCCCAAAACCAGTGTACTGTCGCTAATGGTTAAACTGAGTAATTAGCGTAAGAATGTGGCAATATTGTATACTTTTATAGTACAGAGATGCCGTAATACTTCTACTTATAAAGTAAATGACCCATCATTTTAAGGTTTTACAATGTAAAGAATATGAAATATTAAAAAGTGAATTTTCATTTGTTGGTCACTGATGCTGGTCAAATAATAATGATGATGATTATGGCAACAAATTTCTTGTGAAACCTGATGATGTATTGCAAGCATGCAATAAAGATGCGTATGCATTAAGTTAATTAAGTTTTAATTTCTTATATTTTATATAATGTCTTTATTTTCGTTCACAGGTACAAAATGGAAGAACATGTCCAACACAGACAAACAACCGTATTATGAAGAACAAGCGCGACTTAGCAAAGCACATCTAGAAAAATATCCTGACTACAAATACAAACCACGCCCGAAAAGGACTTGTATCATCGATGGTAAGAAGCTCAAGATTGGCGAGTACAAGGCCATGATGAGAGCCAAACGCCATGAAGTTCGCCATGTGTTCTACACACGCGACGGCGAGAGGATGATCCGGTTCCCTGCTACCACAGCAGCGAACCAGGGTCTGTCCGGATTAGAGAGTCCGTATTCTCTACATCCACCTACGATGGTCGACCACATAGATCGCCATCACGAGTTAATGGAGCGACATCAAGAGATGGTGGACCGACAGCGAGAGATAATGGAGTCACGTGATATGGAAATGCAGATGCAGTGAACTAGTCCTTTAGCCCAAAATATTTGCCTAATCATTTGCAGATACAATCCAACTGACTAGCTTATAAATTTCAATATGTAACATATATAGGCCTACAACACTGAAAAGTGTAAACAAATGTGATATGCCATATTATAAATATAAAGTTGATATTGCAACCAATTAGTTTAGTTACAAAATTTGTAATTTTTACATAATTTTAATCTGACCTGTTACACTTCAAATGTCCCTAATCTATGGTGTCTCATATAAACTGCCCTTTAAAAACACTCTACTCAATACTGATGTGTTTTAATATCAATTGATACTTATTTAATACAGTATCTAAAAACCAATCTCTCCCACCGTATACACAAATTTTTAGAAAGTCGCGAAGCTTGACATGTGTCCCCAAGTCTCTTAGTTTCCAGAAACGTGATTTCTCCTCTAGTTTTAATAAATTAAATACTGTAATTATACAGTTCACTTTTTATTGATCAAATCTGTTTTTGATCTTACTTAGTACTATCCATATCTTCCAAAAGTTTAGCTAACTAAATGATGTGCTGTGCAGTGCATTTATGTTCGGGGCGTATAGAATGTATTTAAACATGCCCGGGGCTCCCTGAATCACTTGTGAAAAGCATACGATAATAAGATTCTCCAATTTGAGGAATTAAGCCTTTGTCTCTTAAGCAGTGTGTATGTAGTATATGCTTCAGCACCATAACAGTCTATTGTAATCCAGACCAATCAGCAAATCATGAAACATGCCCTGTATCTGTATTTCGAAGAATGCATATACTATTGCCAACAGTCAAAATTGTAATCATATTTAATTTATATTACTGCTCGTTGCAGCTGAATTACCACTGTTTGTAAGGGTGGGTGTCAACGTCACTTCATGTCCTTTTCCATTCTGTAAGAATTAAATCAAAGTAACAACAATAGTATTAGAAAAGTCTGTGAAGTTAAAAAAAAAAAAAAAAAAAGCTGAGGAATCCTGTTATATATGCATATATGGCATATCCATGTTGCATTTTTTAAAATCTTTCTGTTTCTTCTATGCACTGCTATATGGTATTCTTACCCATTTATTATGTATAGCCTATTTGCCCATCTATTAAACATGTATAGAAATTGTGTAATGGAGTATAACGAATCTAAAGTGTTGCGAGTCCGATGTTAAACGTAAGAAAGCTCTGCACTTACATACAGATCAGAAATGAGTAGAATTGTCTACAGTACAGCCAAAAAAAACCACATCGGTTTTTATCCAATTAGCTGTCAGTAAGGCCAGACTTTTGCAGTTTTTCGAGAAGAAAAAAACATATTAATAATAGATAATAATTAATATTTAATATTTTACAAATATTGGTTGAAAAATGAGGGAGCTCATAACCGGTCTAACAAAACTGCCGCGGGAGAGAAAATATATTAAAATGCGAGGTGTTTTGAATTTGACTGCTATGATTATGCAAATGATCATGGTTATGCAAATGATCTTGATTATGCAAATGATCTTGATTATGCAGGTGATTATGGTTGTGAGTCCTTAATCAGATAGCAGTCTTAGATCAATTGTAGATGATTTGAAAGATAAAAGTTAAAAAAAATTGGGTTTCTTTCATATGTGTGAATTTAAATTGTTTTGGGAAATGTTAGCAATATGTTTAACTTTCATTTTTTCGAAGAACAGACGGACGGACGGCCATTGACATCTTTGTTCTGGTACGATTAAATGATATTACACGATAAGATTTAATTTTGCTGTTTAATACTCCTTTTAATACTATAAACACATTAACTGCAATGCATTTTTTTTATGTTTTGACTTCTTATGTTAGAAAAGAGAATTGTTGGTAGATAATCGTGCTAATTTTAGGAGAGAAAAAGTACATATGACATTTTAGACAAGCATTATATTTTCTATAATTTGCTATTACATACATTAATTATATTATTTTAAATTTTATTCATTGTAATATTTTAAATCATTTAAATATGTATATTGATTTTAAATAATTAAAGACTAACATGAGTAATAGATATTATTTACTTCTATATTCAAAAATTATATTCTTCTAATTAAGACTTGTAAACAAAGTATGTATGAAGTGTGCGATGTCTTCATACTGGATCCATTGTAGTGACCCTTCTTTTCGAGGTATTCTAAGGTTCCATTTACACCAATATGCATCCAGTGTGAAAAGACATTATGATGGTCTGACAGAACATTCGTAATACATGTGCTGAGGCCTAGGCTACAACAAACAGCCATATTTCCTGGCTATACTTCTATATTTTATTTTTTTAGATTGAAACATAGTTAACGATATGATAGGCTAAAGGTGACCGATTACAAAGGCTTCTGATTGGTCAACAGTAGAGTACCTAGCTATCTGCTGCCTGGATCATGTGACACAAAGATCCAAGTGATCTTATGATTAGCTAATTAGATTGCAACAATTGATTACAGAGGCTAATCATACAAAGTAAGGTGTTTCCCAACCTTGTAATCTTGTACTGAAAAAAAGACATAATAACAGTATATATATCATTGAACTATTATTATATATATTATATATATAATTATATATGCATATATATATTGTATATATTATATGTGTATATATATGCACATATATAACTATATATGCATATATATTTTATATGTATATATATTTATATAATTTTATATATACATATATATACTTATGTATTTGTTTTAAAAGAATATAATCTTTCCTACCTCTGAATACTTTAGCAATTTTACTAACATTTACTATGTTCTTGTAGAATCGTTAAGTCTGATTGGTCAGATTTGATTTTTAATTACATAATCGGTGGAATTAAAACTGATCATGTTTCATTGAACATGACTATAATGATTCCAATTTTGGAAATGATCTTAATGAGTTTTCAGATGCATTAACATTGATGGATTATGGCAATGATCTGTGTATGAATAAGGTAAAAAGATATTTAAAGCAATGTGAATCTGTAAACAGCAGTTAGATGGTAAAGACTACTTTCAAAAATAAAATCCAGTGGATGCTTCCATATGGAGGGTATTTAGGTGTGGTGGCGTATCTAGGGGTATTAAAATTAGAGAAGCTGACAGGGAAGGTAAAGTGGGAGGGCTCAATGATTAAAGCTAGCTAACAAAATAAGGTATTTTTAACTTGAGCATAATTTTTTTGCTTCAAAAATAAGTGGAAGGGGGAAACTGGAAGGTGCAACCTTCCTTGGGAGAATGCGCCTCCTCCCCCATCTGTGCACCCCCTAGATACGCCACTGATTTAGTGTTAGGCTAAACAATGTTTGAAGAAATTCATCAATGTTAAATGTAGTAGAGCATTTTCTATGTTTTCTTAATGTTATCTAATTTCATTTTTACAAACATGTCTAAGATCTGTTTTTTGCAGAACTGTTTGAGTTGTTTATATTTCATTTAGCAGTATCAGGCATCTGTTATATGTTGCTTTATTTGCATGCCTATAATCTCTTAACTGAAGCCTCAAAGAGGTTTGACTTTAAGTTTAATTAGACACAACTTATTTTTTTTTTTTTTTTACATTAATGATACTGATTGAATTAATTACTCTATCTACTCTAGCTCATATGTGTGTGTTGTACAGGTTTTAAAAAAATGTTTGTAATTATCATTGTCTAGTGGAACTTCTGGCTGAGAATAGAAAAGAAAAGTATCGACAGAATATTTGTAAGAAAGTAAAGATTGAATTAGAAAAGAATAAGAGCGAGAGATGAATAGGAATTTGGATCAATGAATGTAAGGAAAGGAAAAATAAGGAAAGAAGTTGAAGAATAGGTGGAAGTCCTATAAGTGTTTGGAGGAAGTCCAAGATTTTTGAATTTGTCATTCTGTACTGTGTCTTGTGAAATGAAACTAAGCTATAAAGCATATATGTTAAAATACCACTGAATGAGGACTTACCTTTATAGTATTTGTAGCTTAAGAAATTATTGTTATTTAAAAAGCAACTGACAAACTTGGTTCCAAAATTGAATCTTTTATATTATTGTTATGATAATTGATAATATTAGAAATTGCCCATGTTATTAATGGTTACCTAGGTAAATTCCATATGTGCAGGGACAGATCGAAACATTATCATGTTATATCCTGAATTAACATAATTATATTGTTGAATTGTATACTAGGAGTAAAAGTAAATGTTATTGTGTGCTGGTACCGCGGTTGTTCAGCACAAACGTTGCTGATAAACTGTAAAGCAGTTTTCCAAAATAGCCCATGTTGAAATGAAACATCCCAACCCAAGGCTCTATATAAACCACTTGTAGTGAAATAACTGTTGTATGGATATTCTAATGCCTATATATAGTAATATAGCAACAAATTAGCTCCTAATATGCTTAGGACAGTAAATATTGAGAAATAAGTATCTTATATTCACTTGTTTTCCATTTTAAACTACTTTTTTAGATATAACTTGATGCAACTAATTAGGATTTTAAATTTATTCTTTTATTCCTTTTTTATGTATACACAATTTCAGTATTGTTTATCTTCCTGTATCAACAAATGTTGATAAATACATTTCTATCCCTATGTAAATATACACATATATATGTATACATATATATATATATACACCTATATTTGTATACATATGTATTATTTTTATATTTTTACCCTTTATCCACATGTCAATCATCATTTGTTTTGGTAGCTTTATTTATAATCTAAACCTTGATAGTCAATATTGAATGAACGTGTTGACAAACTAACTGTTGTGACGTTCTGGACGGGTATTATGCAAATTAGGGTGCGTACTATATTTAGATTGGTCTTTTGGGTTCTGTTTATAATACGGAAATGTATTGTCATAAGCATGTCTGTGTAATACTATTAGTGGTAGACCTAACAGTACAAGTTGTAGTTCAGCATCTATTTAAACAGCGCCCTCATTCTGTATACAGCAATGTCGTCTTCATTCATTTGTAAATATACATGTATATCATATTATCTCGTAGTTCAAGTTTACTGTGTATAGTTGTGTACAATAAATGTATTATTATGGAGTTTATTTGAACTACGGTGTTTGTTTCATTCATTTTGCATTCATTCATCGCAATTGTAAAACTTAGTATTTGCTTTTAAATGTGCTAGTTTGTGAGAGCTGGTATTCGACCTTGAGAAGACCTATGGGAGGTACGGAAAAAAAACATTAATTCCTTAGGCCTAATGTATGTGAAGTAATGTGTTATCAATTATATCAGGTATTTTTTGAAGACTACTAAATAATATAATGAAATGTTAATTTACTTTGACTGAAAAGAAATTAATGGATATGGTGTTAACTGACGAGCTCTTCTCCGGAGTGTAAAATTCAACGAACTTTACATTCAAATGTCTTTTCCAGAAGCTTAACATGTTTCAAACGGCAAATACATATATATATATATATATTTTTTTTTTTTTTTGAAGGACAATATTTACCGAAGAATCGAATTATGACACTATTCAAAAATGGACGGCGAAGTTGACCAATACAAAATAATTCGCTTTAGCGCCGCTGCCGGCATCTTTCGACATGAATTTCCTTCTTAATTTTGCTGTAGTTCAAATTGTTGATTCATTGTGTTTGTGTGTGTGTGTGTGTGTGTTTCGGAGACAAAATGTAACAAAATCGAAACGGACGCGACTATGACGTTTAATTCACTAAACCACATTACGGATTCTTAGAAAGTAAAACGCGTTCACCACAATTTTTGGTATTTATCGTTTGTTTTTTGGAAAATTTTTTTTATAAATTGTTAAAACGCATAATAGCACTGTGCGATATCGGTATATTCATTTTAATTATATTTCTGAATGCGGCGATATTATAACGTGGTTTTAGTACAAAGAAATTAAAATGTGGCGTACTGACGGATAGTTCGCCTTGAACTGCGTGGTTTCACGTGCCTCGTGTGACCACGTATTAACGATCTTACTCTCCTCGTGATGCCACGGTTCCGTTTTGCAGAAGTTCATATCACGTTCTCAAAAGAGAAAACATGATATTGTGACGTCCCCAAGTTTTGCGTTCAGCCAAATTTAATTTTTATTTGTTGTCTATTCCTTAAATTCTATTACTTTCCATCAATAAATGTCTGCAAAAATAAACTATAAATACGTCTAACGATAATTTAAAAAAAAAACAGTACCGGTAATAGGCCTCTTCCACAAGCCACGGAGTAACATTGTTTGTTTTAAATTTATCAAAGCAAGCCTAATATAAAGCCAGCCATTTGTTTGTGAAACGGTCGGTATATACGATAAATATTTTCATTTTCCACAATTGCTTTGGTTTAGGCCTATATTTGCGTATATTTATCGGATTAAAAAAGAATCACATAAAATAAGTCCATTTCAGCATTTAAATGCTGAATTGTGTGACTGAATATTATAAAAATAGGACAAATTAGCAATTATGAATTTACAAATCATCAAAAATATAGTGCAATATTATATATTAGAAATTACATTGAAACATTCAAAATAGACATACGACGGCAAAATTATATAGACAATAGTTACAAAATATACGGTAATATTCAAGTTAAATTCAATATTTTTTTTAAATTAAATACAGTATTATATAAAAAATTTATGTTTAAAGCATTATAAAAGAAAAATACAAACAAAACAACACAAAATGATAGTTTGTATTTTTGTCACAATGACATGCAATTGTTTAAGTTACCATCAATAACGATTTAAATACATAGATTTATTAAAGATGTATATCATTTCATTTAATAAAGCAAATGTGGGGGTCGAGATGACAAATACAACATGATTTTATCTTTAGGTAATTTTAAAGATGTTTCCGAAATAATAAAAATAAAAATTAGATTTCGATTGTTAAATTACCATAGCAGCACCGGTGACATAGGCCTACTTATAACGTATCATCCAAACAAAATAGTTTGAAACGTTCTTAAAATAGTCAATATCTCATGGATTTTATCTGTCAATAGACTATAAATCGTCGAGAGAATTGTCACTGTGCATTTTTATCCGACATGATGTTTGGAAATTAATGATAAACTATATATGCTTGAATATACATGTATTATGATTATTTGCAACGCTGCTTGAGAAATAAAAGCTTGCTGGCTTAAGTCGTCATCATGGTGTAACTATATAGATACGAATAAAGCTGTTTGACGAAGAAAATAGGCTGATTTAACGTGTATGCTTTGGCAGATTTTTCGTCAACTTTGAATCAATTAATACTATATGCCGATTTCCGAGTTACACTCATCATAACGAGTGTCATGGCCGCTTCGCTCTAAAGAAAAATGCCTCCGGTTTAGAAAACAAAGTTGTAAAATTGAATGAGAATTAACTGAATCAAACGTGTAATATGCACACTTGACACGTGAAACTCCCACACATGATACGAAGGTTTAGATGAGTCCTAAGTTAAATCTAATTTACTAAAAAATGCTTTTAGTTCATCAATTCATGAAAAAAAAATGTTATGTTAATATTGTGTCTTCTCTCGTGGTCACTCTGTTGTACAGTTTGAGAATTGGAATGATAGACCAACTGAATAATGTAGTGCGTATCTTTCAAAGCTTAGCGATTAAGTTGGGATTTGAACCTGCGACTTCATAGGATGACCTGGAGCACCGAGCTAAAATCCACTTATCTACTCATTTCATACTATTACCGTAGCAGGGATTCGTTATTGTGACAAAAAGTACGGTAGTTTATTCTTCATCAAAATCAGTAAGCTATTAATTTTTATGACGGATGGTGTGCCTTAAAATTGCACGTTATTTTCACTCTTTATCATTAAGCTTCTTAAATTCGTTGGAAGCATACCGCACCATATTTTCTTATTCTCGGGTTGAAGTAAACCTATATCTACAACTACAACTACGCGCGCGTTAGTCAATGTTTTCATTATTTTACTTACTTTTATTGTGAAATGATTTATGATCTGAATCAAGAATAAATTGTGAAATTTTGTTGAATACTACTACGATAAAACAAAAATTGGCCAATATTATTTACTTCCTGCAATTATACTTAACTTTCTAATTACATGCAACATAACTTTCACTTGTTTTTTTTTTTTGTTTTTTTGTTTTTTTTATTATAGCACCTAAACCAAAAAAGAACTCTTAATGGTAAGCGAAAAACAAACACGATTTATGACAATAATTAGCGAATTTATCAAATATAGCGATTTCAATTAGAACTAGGCTATTGCAAGTTGAAGTGACTTGCCCATGTAGCCACCATGGCAACAGACTACTGCATAACTTCTCGTTCCAGGGACTTATTGAATTCAATCATTTTTAATTAAAGTTGAAAGATAGACTTATTTCAACAAAACAGAAGCCAACCTGCCAGATACAATTGTGAATAATTGTCGCTTTTCATTCGCAGAAATTCCTTTCACTTTCGTACTCAACTTTCTGATGAATACCAGTGTGTAAGGCCTACATGTGTAGGCTTATATCTATGCTGTTCTCAAATATCGGAATCACTTCGAAAGCGAAATGTATTTTCTAAAATACTAACGGGAAAAACACTACTGTAGTAATGGGTAATTCTGTACCGTGGCACCGAACAATCAAGGCTTTAAACATCCTCCGAAGACGTTTTCTCTCTCTCCACTCTGTCATGTACTTGTTATTATCAGTAAGACTCAGCTGGTTGCTAATCTATACCCATTCGCAACACAATTTGTTTTATAGTCTGTAGCAATTGGCCGGTAGACTAGCGAAACTGATCACGTGCTCGGTTCAAGGTCGGATCAAGCCTATGAATGGACAGTCCTCGGGGACGCGCACGCGTTCCGGAATGCTACTCACTAGAATGTGTAGAAATCGCTACACGAGTGCTTAACTTATTAGAAAGAAAACAGTTTAATGACTTGGATCTGGAAACCATCACAGATGAGAATCAAATGTAGATATTAATTTCGAAATCGTTGTCCAGTTTGACGCCCATTTATTTGGCTAACCTGAAGTAGTGTGATTGTTTTCGCCCGCTATCTCGTAACCCTGAAACTTCTAAGCAGGAAAACAGCAAACGAACGAATTAATTGATAAAAGTATTTGTACGATAAAAGCTTTAAATTAATAATGTCCCATCTGTATATTTTACAGTTAATTAAATCAATGTTTCGACGAATGCTCATCCAGGAATTAAACATTTAAATCAATGCACGAAAGGAATGATTGAAATAAACAAATTTATCCATCAACCTAATAGTAACTGCTTTTGGTTTTATGTGATTTGCAATTTATTGGTGATTGATTATTTAAAATAATCGGTTGTGCATTTACATTTATTCAGGAAACGAATATTTAGTTTTGAAAAGGCAAATACTGAAAAAATATTATTGGAAACGATTACTGGATTCTGGTTGAGATACAAAATCGAAAACCTGAAATGTAAAGTTAAACATCCAG